ATACTTTGCCTGGTTTCAAAGTATGAAGATAGTCCTTGACTTCTTTAAAGGGCAAGAGATGAATGTGTTACCACACACCATCATATGACCATTGATGGGCTTTTGAGTTCATAACTTTGTTCATAGTATCGCATATATTCACTGTAAAAAATGACCGTGAATTTAATGGTAAAAGACTGTAAAAATGCTACAGTAAAAACCTGTTAAATGGTTAACGGTAAATTCCCCTACTATATACGGTGAAAAACTGTATTGGACATTACATGTATTGGACATTAATTTTACGGTAGTATACCGTTTTTGGAAGTGAAAAATACTGTATAATTTACAGTGAATAACCGTAAATTGACATTCCCAGAATTCCCTGCGTTACATTTCAAACTTGATGTTTTTTTTTGTTGAAATAACTGTTTCTTCTTCAGTTTTGTATATTAGGGTTGTGTGTTACACCTAATGTTGTTAAATGAATGTTTATTGCATTATTTCAGTTTCATGTGTGTTACCATGATGGTGTTTGGTGTTTGTGTGAATGACACTGTGCACCTTCTATATATTTTATTATTTAAAAGCTGCTTGTGATGGGCTTTGGTTCATCATGTGATTTTCTCATCACCACCTACATTTGGTGGTTATCATTGTATTACAAAGGTACAAAACAGATTTCAGTACTTCAATAGGTTGGTATATTAACATTATATCAGTTAATGAAATTACGGTATTTAACTGTAAATTTAAGTTAAAACCGTAAAACCTAAACTGTTGCTACCGTATTTTTTAACGGTAAAATTCCGGCAACCACAGCTTACCGTAAATTTTATGGATTTTTTTTTACAGTGTAGGGATGCATGTGTGACATCTTTTCCCTTTTTCATTTTTTAATTTGAAAGAGGTTAATTTACCCTGAAATGAACATTCTGTCATTATTTGCTTACCCATGTTATATTTCAAATCTGTTTGATTTTTATCTTCCAAAATGACAAAAAAAAAAGAAAAATGACAAAAAAGTACCATAAAATAGAGGATTTAATACTATATCCCAAGTCTTTTGAAGCCATACTATAGAAAAACAGACCAAAATTATTTCATTTTACATCTCTTGTGTTTCTGGATATATTTAATTATATGTCAGTGATGCTGACCTCCTTTGATTGCTTTCACAATGAGGCAAGTCTGAATATGTAGAAGTGCACATTTTTTGGCAACCACGTTAACAATTGAGAGTGTTCACATCAAAAGTGTAACGTATATTACGGTTGAAAAAGTTTGGGGTCGATAAGATTTTTTAATGTTCCAACGCTACATTTATTTGATCAAACTTACAGTAAAAACAGTAAAATTGAGAAATATTGTTACAATTTAAAATAACTATTTTCTATTTTAATATATTTTAAATTGTAATTTATTTAAATTGTAATGTATTTATTTAATTTATTTAATTACTCCAGTCTTCAGTGTCACATGATCCTTCAGAAATCATTCTAATATGCTGATTTGCTGCTCAAGAAACATTTCTTATTATTGTCAATGTTTAAAACAGTTGTGCTGCTTTATATGTTATAGAAACTGTGAATTATTTGAAATAGAAATCTTATTGTAACATTATAAATGTCATTACTGCCTTGATCAGTTTAATGCATTCCCAGTTTAATCAGTTTAATGGGTTAAATTGGGGTCTATCCTTGTGTTAAGCTTACATTTCACCTCAGAAGTTGCATATATATTTGCAATATAGTGGATATGTCATATAGACAACTTTTATTGTACCTTTTGCGGCGTGAAATGACATGAGCGTAGATAAATGATGACAGACTTTTGAATTAATTATGCCTGTAAGCATATCAGCTTCAACTGCAACGTGTATACAGCTGAAATAATTGAATAGCAGATAGAAAAGCAGCACAGCACTAATCTGTCTGGCTGTTTATCTGCTGAGTTCAAAGACAGTAAAAATTCATGCCAAACCATGACACACTCCTCCGTCCTGTAGCCCTCTGATAGTGATAACCCTTATCAGGCCTTTGGAGAAGCAAATCCCTTTGTGAAAGTCAAAGTGACTGACAGCACGCCGTTTACAATGCCAATGTCCCAGACGCTGTTATTTTCCAGCAGTTACTTCACACAGCATTTGAACTCGGTGCCTCTGGTGATGTGATCGGCCCAAAAGTCTATGAACTCTTCCATGTTAATGGCCTGTTTAGAGCTGCTGCTGTGGACCATCTGTTTGGTGTCGCCGTTTTATTGCGAGCTCAGACTGGAATGTATGGCTGCCTTTAAATCACAGATTTCCCTTGACCTGCAATTTTTCTCTTTCTTTCTCTTCTCCATCTACAGCCATTGGGATTTTTGCGGCAAGATTGTCCTTTGTCGACGAAACATGACACGTGCGTTGGTGTATATTGGTGTGCTAATAGCCATAATGGCTGCGACGGAAGCAAGGCCTAAATCAGGTTGGTTAAACCGCCGTCATAACACTAATAAATCAATCTTGGCAGTAAGGGAAGTAGACTCTACCTCAGAGTCTGTCGATTACACTAAGCATTTAGTGGTGGCATAATTGTGTTGTTATTGGCAAACCAGACGACCATTGAAGATTTGTTTTTTTATCAACTACTAGATCTGTAGTTCTCAACTGCTTCAGGATTCAGATTATACATGCAAATCTAAACCAAAATGTTATATAAGCATGAACTACATAGGCCCAATATGCAAAATTATTAATATGAGATGGGGCTGAAAAAGAAAATTGACTTCACATTTTGAGTGTTAGGTTTCTAAATGTCTCTTGAATTTCAATGGTTTTGTGAATGGTTTTCAGATGCATTTTATTTGCACCTGTAACACTGTTAGAACAGACCATTTTTGGTTTGGAAATATGCCAAATTGTCCTCTTCATTAAGATTTGAGTGGTCTGTTTTTAAATTTTAGCTTCCATGTCTGTTGTGAGGTTTTCAACACTTTCAAATTTCAGTGAAACATGGCACTTATTTTGGAAAACACTGTACACTTATAAACATAAAGGTTCCAGGAGTTGTTTTTGCAGAAATGCCATAGAAGAACCATTTTTTTGGTTTCCAAAGAACCTTTTAGTGAACAGTTCTTAAAAGAACCATTTTTTTTCTTAGTGTGAAGAACATTTTAATAATATAAAGAACTTTTTGTGCGATTGAAAGGTTTCATGGATGTTAAAGGTTCTCCAAAGAACCATCTATGCCAGTAAAGAACCTTTATTTATGATAGTGTAAGAACCATTATTTGGTTCTCAAAGGACTTTTCATTAAACAGTTCTTAAAAGAAGTTAGTTTTGAACAACATTTTAAATAATCTGCAGAACCTTTTTCCACTATAAAGAAGCTTTTGTGCAATGGAAAGTTTCCATGGATGTTAATGGTTCTTTATGGAACCATCAATGCCAGTAAAGAACCTAGTGTACTTATTTACTTGTAGCTTTAGACTGAATCAGTATTGTCATTATATGTTTTAAAAAATTGGCAAACCAGACGACCATTGAAGATTTGTTTTTTTATCAACTACTAGATCTGTAGTTCTCAACTGCTTCAGGATTCAGATTATACATGCAAATCTAAACCAAAATGTTATATAAGCATGAACTACATAGGCCCAATATGCAAAATTATTAATATGAGATGGGGCTGAAAAAGAAAATTGACTTCACATTTTGAGTGTTAGGTTTCTAAATGTCTCTTGAATTTCAATGGTTTTGTGAATGGTTTTCAGATGCATTTTATTTGCACCTGTAACACTGTTAGAACAGACCATTTTTGGTTTGGAAATATGCCAAATTGTCCTCTTCATTAAGATTTGAGTGGTCTGTTTTTAAATTTTAGCTTCCATGTCTGTTGTGAGGTTTTCAACACTTTCAAATTTCAGTGAAACATGGCACTTATTTTGGAAAACACTGTACACTTATAAACATAAAGGTTCCAGGAGTTGTTTTTGCAGAAATGCCATAGAAGAACCATTTTTTTGGTTTCCAAAGAACCTTTTAGTGAACAGTTCTTAAAAGAACCATTTTTTTTCTTAGTGTGAAGAACATTTTAATAATATAAAGAACTTTTTGTGCGATTGAAAGGTTTCATGGATGTTAAAGGTTCTCCAAAGAACCATCTATGCCAGTAAAGAACCTTTATTTATGATAGTGTAAGAACCATTATTTGGTTCTCAAAGGACTTTTCATTAAACAGTTCTTAAAAGAAGTTAGTTTTGAACAACATTTTAAATAATCTGCAGAACCTTTTTCCACTATAAAGAAGCTTTTGTGCAATGGAAAGTTTCCATGGATGTTAATGGTTCTTTATGGAACCATCAATGCCAGTAAAGAACCTAGTGTACTTATTTACTTGTAGCTTTAGACTGAATCAGTATTGTCATTATATGTTTTAAAAATTTTTTACAGCTGAACCGAAGTGTAAATCTGGCCCGGTCGACCTTGTGTTCATCATCGACGGCTCGCGCAGCGTTCGTCCCCATGAGTTTGAGACAATGCGCAAGTTCATGATAGACATCATCCATGAGCTGGACATTGGCCTAGAAGCTACAAGAGTTGGAGTGGTCCAATACTCCAGTCAAGTCCAGAATGTGTTCTCCCTCAAAGCCTTCAGTAAGACTGCGCAGATGGTCAAAGCCATCAACGAGATCATTCCATTGGCACAGGGCACTATGACCGGCCTGGCCATCCGCTATGCTATGAATGTAGCCTTCTCTGCCGAAGAAGGCGCCCGTCCCAACGTTCCCCACGTAGCCGTTATCGTGACAGACGGTCGCCCTCAGGACCGCGTGGCTGAAGTGGCGGCAGCTGCAAGGGAGTCTGGGATTGAGATCTATGCCATTGGTGTCGCCAGGGCTGATATGACCTCACTGCGAGCTCTGGCGTCTCCACCATTTGAGGATCACGTGTTCCTGGTGGAGAGTTTTGACCTCATTCACCAGTTTGGACTTCAGTTTCAAGACAAGCTTTGTGGTAAAGTGTTCCTCCATTTGATATATGCTCCACAGTAGTGAAAGGATCTAGACATAAAAGTTGAACTTTTCAACTTTTTTGGAATCTTTTCTAAAAGGTTTGAACCTCAAACCTCAACTCAAAGGTGCAATTTCTTCTTAGAAATAACAAAGGATGTAAGCTACCATTCAAAAAGTTTAGGGTCTGTTAGAGGGGTAGTTCACCCAAAAATAAAAATTCTGTCATTAATTACTCACCCTCATGCGTGTGCATTCCTCTGCGTGCAAACAAGCTGCAGTGCATTGTAATAGTATTTCACAATATTAGTGTACTCCAGTCTTCAGTGTCACATGATCCTTCAGAAATCATTCTAATGCTGATTTAGTGAATAAAAAATAAAATAAAAAGAATAAAAAGAAACATTTCTGTTTATTATCATAAAGTTGTGCTGCTTAATATAATTTTTTGGAAACCGTGATACATTTTTTATAAAATAATAATCTATGATGAATGGAAAGTTCAAAAGAACAGCATTTATTTGAAATAGAAATCTTTTATGTCTTTATAAATGCCTTTACCATCACCTTTGATTAATTTAATGATCAATTTAATGCATTCTTGCTGAATAAAAGTATTAAGTTCTTAAAAAGAACTTTTGAACAATCCTGTATACATTTATAATGTAATTAAATATATAAAATAATCATAAATAATCATAAAAAAATAAAAATAAAGCATTCCATTATTTCTAAAATATTTTACAATTATACATAACATATTTTTCCATTGAAGCCATCTTTATTTTATTGTTATTTAAATACTATTACAGTATTTATAAAAAAATTAATAAATGTAATGCATTCTTGCTGAATAAAAGTATTAAGTTCTTTAAAAAAGTACAATCCTGTATACATTTATAATGTAATTAAATATATAAAATAATCATAAATAATAATTAAAAAATAAAAAATAAAGCATTCCATTCTTTCTTAAATATTTTACAATTATTTAATCATAAATATAGCTAATTAATCATAGTCTTCATTTTTATTCTTTATTATTTTGTCAAAAAAATTGAGAGTAAAATGGAATAAAAATAAAGATTTTGACTCATTTAAAAGACATTTTTGTCAAAAGTCAAAACAAAATAAAACCTGTAAACACTGTTTGAATGCTCTCATTGGTTCACATTGTCCTTTGAGCTTGCTGAAATCTTATGTTGACTGTAAGCACATGAATACTGTTTCTTTTACATCCAGTGGACACTATGATTTAGCTTTTCTTGCTTTCTCAGTACTCATATATGCGTTGGATTTGCAGGGATGGACTTGTGTCTGGAATCAGATCACGGCTGTGAGCACATCTGTGAGAGCTCGCCTGGCTCCTACCACTGTCTCTGTCTGCCTGGATACACGCTCAACGAGGACGGCAAGACCTGCACACGTGTGTAGCCTTACAAATGACACATCATAGAAATATGTCACAATTATCATTCCAGCGGTGCTCAACAGGTGTGTGTTTGCTTTGCAGCCATTGATCTTTGTGCTGAAGGGAAGCATGATTGTGAGCAGATCTGTATCGCTTCACCCGGGTCGTTCACATGCGACTGTAAAACAGGATACACACTCAACGATGACAAGAGAACCTGCAAAAGTTAGTGACACACAATAGTGATATCTGCATAACAATTTGACTGAAGTGTAAATTGTAAAAATGACATTAACTTATATGTTTCATAGAGTATACAGACAAAGGTTATGTTCGGAATAGTGTACTACCATACTATTCATACTATTTTAGCAGTATGCATTATGTATACTGAATACAGTATGCAAATATTCTGTATGCATGAAATATCTAAACTGTGTTTGCCAAAATTACAGTATACAGTATATGCAGTATGCAGCAGTGTATACACTAGTATTCCATTCTGAACATAGCCAAAGGAACATACTGTATACTAAATATACACCTGCTCTGCCATTGTACAGCACAGTATATTGTGCCTCAGCACATAGTATGCTTACTTGTGTAATGCAAACTTAAAGATCCAATGAAATTACTTGATGAGCGTTTTTCCTCTCCTAACATATTTTTCCATTGAAGCCATCTTTACTTTATTGTTATTTAAATACTATTACAGTATGTATTAATATTTTGATTTAGCTTAAATTTCTTTCATTTTCAGTCTTTTACTCTTCAGTCAGATAACTATAAAAACACTGATTGAAGAAGGAAGTACACTAGCCTATATATGGCTTTAAAATGAGTAGACATGGACTAACATCCAGAAAATCCAGTCCAGATTTCATGGGGTCTTTAACACCTGATTACTCACCCAAAATCTTCTCTCACCGTTCTCTGCCTGTTCCAGTGATTGACTACTGCTCATTTGGGAATGATAGCTGCGAGCATCAGTGTGTGAGTGTGCTCAATGGCTTTAATTGTCGCTGTAACGAAGGATACTCACTCAACGATGACCTGAAAACCTGCACAAGTTAGTGAGAGCAATTCCCTGCAACTTGCAATGCTTTTTAAAATATAAAAAAGTATATGCTGTGTAGTATTGCAATAGTATTCCCTTCAGTATATAACATTAATACAGAGGAGGTGATGTAAAACAAGCAGAAAATAATAAACCAACATTTCTTGGATGTTTGCATAGTAGCTGTATGCTATAGTATCGCCAAATGCAAACTTAAATATGCAGCGATGAATTTTGCTTGTGTTTTACCATCACCAAAGTCTCATGCTTCTGTCTGCCTGTTTCAGTGATTGACTACTGTTCATTTGGAAATGATAGCTGTGAGCACGAGTGTGTGAGCATGCTTCAGAGCTTTTATTGCCACTGCCGTGAAGGATACACACTCAATGAGGATGAAACAACGTGCACAAGTTAGTGAGGGCCACGGATACACACATAATTCAAATACGGAGGACTCACGAATACCCAAAACACTACAAGCCTATAATTAAATGCCAGACTCAAGACATTCTCCTAACTAACATTTTTCAAACACATGGAACAGTTTCTAATGCAAAGAGAAAGTTTGCAATGTCATTACAGCATCCGCTTGGCCGCATATGCTGCTATAAAACACACTAGCGCTACTTATCTATCCGTTTCCTCCTGTGACCAGCTGGTTTATCTGTCAAGCCACTGAACAAAACAGAGTGTTTTAGTGTTTGAGCTTCTTGTTCTGTACAGTTTTTATAGTAAATAGTAAAAACATAGCCAACTAGTTGAGCGTTTTTGGTTTATAAGCAGTATGGGGTAGCTACTTTAAAGCTGCAAGCAAAAAGTATCTGTTAAGTATATTATTAGTAGTTAACTAGCACAAAAACAGTTGTAAGCAATGTAGCATCTTTAAAAAAATGTGATTTAGCATTTTTACCATGCTGTACTGCTATTTGTTAGCACAAGTAACTTTTTACTTATAACTGCTTAGCAAGCTACATTTCAAATTAATAAAAGCACTGCACAAGCTAGCTATGCTACTAGCAAAAAGTAGCTAGCTCAGTTAAGGCTAACAAAAATAGTTATCTGGCACAAAACCATTTGTAAGTAATACCTTAAAATCTGTGATTTAGCACAAATAGCATGTTTTTTGTGACTAACAGCAAGCTGCAGTAAATTAATACAAGTACTGTACAAGCTACTATTTGTTAAATATGCTACAAGCTACTTGCAAAAAGTAGCTAACTCAGCTATTAGGAGTTATCTGGCACAAAACTGTGATTTAGCATTTTTCCTGCTACACTGCTATTTGTTAGCACAACTAGCTTGTTACTGGAAAAATACACTGTTTAAGCTACTGTCATGCTGCTGAATGAAGTTAGCGTTGCTGATTTAAGCTAGCCAAGCACTGCTAGATACATGCATGTAGTTTTAGCAGCTTAACTGTTCTGAAACAAGATAAACAGCTTGTATTTTAGTTTGATGTGGTTTTGCTCTTCCTGCTTTGCCAAAGCTTTTCTCACTGTTCTTTGCCTGTTCCAGTGATCGACTACTGCTCATTTGGGAATGATAGCTGCGAGCACGAGTGTGTGAGTGTCCTCAATGGCTTTAACTGCCGCTGTAATGATGGATACTCACTCAATGATGACAAGAAGACCTGTACAAGTTAGTGAAGGCTCACAATCGATGCTTTCGCTTATGTCATTTCCATACTTTTTTCCTCAGTTGTTTAGCATCAATATTTGGGCCATCCATTGCTTAACTTGTAATCACGTTTCTAAATGGTGGAGTATTTCCAATGTTCAAGGGTTTCTGAATTAAAACTCCAACAGACTTGGTCCAAATGGCCCCAATAAGAGATGTGTTATTTGTGATGGCCCAAGAGAAGTTCTCTGCCATATTCATGATAAAGAACTGAGAAAATACCTGAATTATAACATTAATATAAAAGAAAAAATGTTTATCCTGTTTGGTCATGTTCTTTAAATCCATCTAATCCATATTTAGTGATTGATCACTGCTCTTTTGGGAATGATAGCTGCGAGCACCAGTGTGTGAGTGTCCTGAAAGGCTTTCAATGCGTTTGTAATGATGGATACTCACTCAATGATGACATGAAGACCTGTACAAGTTAGTGAAGGCCACGTTTAAACTCAACGTACATACATACATATGCTCACAAAATATCCATAACCCTAATTTGATACTTAAGTACAAAACCAAAATATTTAATATCCTTTATGAATCCAGTAAGTCAATTCTTTACTCCAAATCCATGAAACAACCACGTCTCAGTAAAAAAATAAATGTGATAGCATTTTTACAAGTTTCCTTTCTATGCTTCTTCCTCTCACAAAAACTTTTGCTCTTTGCCAACTACTTTGGCTGCTCGTCTTACTCCAGATTTTGAGCTTCTCTGCTTCTTTCTGCCTGTTCCAGTGATCGACTACTGCTCTATTCGGCCAATCACAACACATTGGATAGCTGGCCAATCACAGCACACCTCGCTTTTTCAGACTGATGAGCTTTGTAAAAATCGACGCGTTTCAGAAAGGCGGGGCATAGAGGAGAAACAATAATGTACAGTATGTGGAAAATAATGTGTTTTTTTAACCTTAAACTGCATAAACACATTTCATTACACCAAATACACAAAATAATGTTCTTTTTAGCAACATCATATGACCCCTTTAAGTACAAAAGCAAAGTATTCAATATCCTTTATGAATCCATGCTTAACTAAAAAAAAATCTATAAAATCTCAGTAGAAAAATAAACATAATAGCATTTTTACAAGTTTCCTTTCTATGCTTCTTCCTCTTACAAAACATTTTTCTCTTTGCCAACTACTTTGGCTGCTCGTCTTACTCCAGATTTTGAGCTTCTCTGCTTCTTTCTGCCTGTTCCAGTGATCGACTACTGCTCATTTGGGAATGATAGCTGCGAGCACGTGTGTGTGAGTGTGCTCAAAGGCTTTAACTGCCGCTGTAATGAAGGATACTCGCTCAATGATGACCTGAAGACCTGCACAAGTTAGTGAGGGCGACATATCAAACTCCACACTCATGTACTATTATGCACAACTTTCTTTTGTTACTTTCTTTTGTTAGCTTTTATGGAAGCCCATTTCCGCTTCAGAGTAAAAAATAAAATTGATAAGGTAAGGCAGGGCTGCCCAAACTCGGTCCTGGAGGGCCGGTGTCCTGCAGAGTTTAGCTCCAACTTGCCTCAACACACCTGCCTTCAAGTTTCTAGTATGTCTAGTAAGAGCTTGATTAGCTGGTTCAGGTGTGTTGGAGCTAAACTCTTCAGGACAACGGCCCTCCAGGACCGAGTTTGGGCACCCCTGAGGTAAGGTATACACTACCGTTCAAAAGAATATATTTTTTTAAAGACAATATTTTTATTCAGCAAGGATGCATTGAATTTATTTAAAGTGATAGTAAAGACATCTACAAAATATTTATTTTTCCTTTGAACTTTCTATTCAGCAAAGAATCTTAAAAATATATCAGTTTCCACAAAAATATGAAGCAGCACAACTGTTTCAATGTTGCTAATAATCAGGAATGATTCTTGAGCAGCAAATCAGCATATTAGAATGATTTCTGTTGGCTTATACTAAAACACCATTGCCTTTGTTTTTGTCTCTTAGTGATTGATTACTGTTCATTTGGGAATCACAGTTGTGATCATCACTGTGTTAGTGTGCTCAATGGCTTCTACTGTCGCTGCAATGAGGGATACACTCTTCAGGAGGATGGAAAGACCTGCCAGTGTATGTATGAAGCTCCTGACAGGTGCTAAAAGTCTTCCTGTTCTGCTATAATGACTGCATTAGAGTGGATTAAAGTGTTTTATATATTAAAATATTGCCTCTTTTCTTAGTTGAAGGTGCAAAGATAAGAATTAGTAGGTTTTCACAAACAATTGCAAAAAATAATAGTTTAAAAAGCAGTGGTAGAATTAGCTTAGTGCATATTGACGTGGTTTTATTGCGTGATTTTCAAGAGCAAAACATTTACTTTTCAAATGATCATTCAGGTTTTTTGGCTTTCACAACATTTGTGATAAGATACAGTATGATTTACTGATCTTCCAAGTTGATTATCCGATTAATCCACCCCATAAAGATATTCAGTTCCCAAACTGTGCTCGAATTGCTTAACACTGTATGGTTATCTTGGCCTAAACTCTTTAAAACTGTCCAAAATCAGCTGGCTCGGAAGTGAGCGCCCCCTCTTTAAGCCTGATGGCCTTCCCAGACCTTGGCCTTGAACAGCTGGAAAGGCCAAAAATATCAAGTGTGTCGTTTATCTTTTGTTAAGTTTACCTAAAGGCTCTGGACATTTGCTTTAAAGAGCCAAGTCATTCCTTCACCAGATTTCCGCTTTCAGCTACCAATGAAATTTATAGCAGAAATTACATTTCATTCACATTTATATCGTTTTTCTTGAACATATTTATAGCAAATTGGTGTCAAGCACATTTCTTGAAATTGTGCATAAATCTGATAAACACTATTACAGTGTCTGGAAAATGTAATTTGATGGTTTTGTTTTGATTTGTTTTTTGTCTTATCAAAGAAAAGCTTGCAAACAGATGCAACACTACTATTCCGGTTTTGGGGTCGGTTTTAATGTCTCTTTAGCTCACCAAGGCTGCATTAATTTGATCAAAAATATAGTAAAAACATTTTTTAAATATTGTTACAATTTTCTATTTGAATATATTTTAAACTATAATTTATTCCTGTGATGTCAAAGCTGAATTTTCAGCATCATTACTCCAGTCTTCAGTGTCACATGATCCTTCAGAAATCATTCTAGTATTCTGACTTTGTGCATAACATTATTAAGTTGAAAACAGTTGTGCTGCTTAATATTTTTTGTGGAAATATAAATGTCTTTACTGTCACAGTTGATCAATTTAATGCATCCTTGCTGAAGAAAAGAATTAATTTTATTATAATATTAAAATTATGTTCCTTTTCTGGCTCACCTTATGAATCCGTTTCATGTTTATTTTCATTGTGGTTTTTTTATGCTCTTTATGTTTATGTCTTCTGCAGCGGATAACTTGTGTAACACAGTCGAACATGGTTGTGAATACCAGTGTGTGAGCACTCCGGGATCATACCACTGTATATGTCCTGAGGGCCATGTGCTACAGGACGACGGCAAGACCTGCGGAAGTAATGCACGCTTTCATTCAGACGACCCTTATTACAGCTGAGATTATCCTAAACTTTGTTTTAAAAGGGGAAATTCCTAAAGCTACAAAGTATAGTTTGACACAAAATTTTGTGGCACAAAATTAGACCCCTTTGAAAATACAAAAAATGCCCCACCTTCTCTGCTAATAGAACAAAATGTTTTGAAATGCATGGTTGGTTGTTCATTTCTCTTGCTCTCTCCAAGCCTGTCGATCCTCCAACATCGACCTGGTCCTCCTCATCGACGGTTCCAAGAGTGTGCGGCCACAGAATTTCGAGCTTGTCAAGCAGTTTGTTAACCAGGTGGTGGATCAGCTGGATGTCTCCCCTAAAGGAACACGTGTGGGTCTCGTCCAGTACTCAAGCCGAGTGCGGACAGAGTTTCCGCTCAGCATGTATCAGACAAAAGAAGAGATCAGAAAGGCTGTGATGAATGTGGAGTACATGGAGAAGGGGACCATGACAGGCTTGGCTCTCAAACACATGGTGGAGAACAGCTTCTCTGAGGCTGATGGAGCCCGTCCTGCTGAGAAGAACATCCCACGGGTCGGCCTTGTCTTTACTGATGGACGATCACAGGATGATATTCAAGAGTGGGCCAAGAAGGCCAAGGAAACAGGTATTGTTATTTAGGGGCCAAAAATAAAAGTGTTACAGTCACAGACAACATAAACTTTAAGCTTTAGTAATAAATACACAGAAAATTGCTTTGTAATAAAAATAATAATTTTAGAAATGAATAATATTTTTCTTTAATTTATCAAAATTAAAAACAAATCTAAATTTAGACTAGTCTAGCTTTTCAACTTTTAGTTTGATTGTAAATATTTTATTTTTATTTTTTAAATATTATTGCTAGAAAAGTTTGAAAGAAATGAGATAAATTGTTTTTAATGTAATCATATTAGATTCATAGTAGATTTTAAATAATATCAGATTTTAAATGTTTTATTTATACGTATTAAAGATCTATTCATTTTATAATTTGGAGCATATTAGTCTGTAATACATATAAACAAAATTTTAAAAATCTAAATTTGTACTCGAACTAGCGTAAGACAATACCTGTGTAATAAAAGTAATCGTTTTTAAAATAAAAATATTTCTAACATTTAGTTTTTATTGTAAATATATATTTTATAGAAATATTAAAATTTATTACATTTTTAAAAAGTTATATATTTTTTATATATATAATTTTACTGATTTATTGCTAGAAAAGATTAAACAAAATTAGATAAAATGTGTGTGTGTGTGTGTTTTTATGGAGTCAGATATTCCAAATCTCAAACCTCATATAAAACGAATATAGTTAAGCACTTCTCACTTAGCTTTTTACTGAAAAAGAAAAAGAAATTCTACTCATTTCATGAAAAGTGCAACTTTTGATGTGTGTCTTGTTCCAGGTATCACCATGTACGCTGTTGGTGTGGGTAAAGCCGTGGAGGATGAGCTGAGAGAGATTGCCTCTGAGCCTATGGAAAAACACTTCTTCTACACCGCCGACTTCACTGCCATCAGCCAGATCGCCGAGAACCTCAAACTCAATGTCTGTGCAGGTGTGTTTGAAAGACTGAGAACACTTACATACTGTACATGAATCATCTTTATTAGATGGCAGACACAACTGCACAGTATTTTGTTCAATAGCGTCATCTCGAGCCTGAGGTAAACATGCACATGCAAAGCTTACCTAAGGAGGTGCTAATGAGTATCCTATACAGGCTATATATTCCTTATAAAAAGCATTCCATGCAAATTTGCATTTCTGCCAAATGCATAAATGCAAATTTAGTGAAATTATTTTTAATGAATATTGGTTATTTATTTCATTCGCACTCATTAAATGCATCATTTTTCAGCTGAGAGTCAAGGAGAGATCGAGGTCAAGGACCCCTGCGCTTGTGAAAATCTAGTGGAGTTCCAGCAGGTTACGATGTCCACCCTAGACCAGCTCAACCAGAAACATATCCTTTATATATTCAGTACAGATCCTTTAGAAACAATATGCTTTCTTTTCAGCACATGCAACTTACTACACCGTGCAACATTGCAGTGTAACTCATCCAACTCCAAACTTTCTCCGGTATAACCTGAAGATTAACGCATTATTACAACAAGCTAAGGGGTTTAACAGAAGCCCCTCTGTACAGAAAGAGCCCACATTGTGTCCGTTGGTCTGATCTGTTCCAGACTGGCCCCTCTGGTTTGGCTTCTCACATAAACCTCTGTGACCACACACTTCAATGGCTCTTTGTTTCAGATCTCTCACTCAGCATCATTCATCAAAGCTCAAAAGAGCCCTTGTCCCACGTCTGAGGCCAGAAACAGATTTTTCTGAACTGCTAAATGCAGATGCACGTCTCCACTGGATCCATTTAACTAGAATTTGATGAGATTACAAAGGAAGGATGTTGCTTCTTGATTCTCATTGTAGTTTAAGTACAGATCTTGCTGATAGGAGTCATTTACAGTTGGATCTAGTGGTTAGAGTGCATTGCTTAGACACTTTGAGCTCTTTTGCTCAAGCGATGCAATTCACAAGCTAATTCCCACATCATCTTCTCATAATTTTCTCATCAGAGATGCCAAAAGGCCACTGTCATTTACTTTTTGCATGCAAATATGTAAATCAGTGCTGCAGTGATGATGTATTTTTGTAGGCCAACCTAAAAATTCGCATTACTCTGGTTCCTTCAATAAAAACCCAAAAGGATTTTTCCATTGGCTTTTGGATTATTGCAGAAAATAAGCTCTGTGACCAACAAAAGTTTGATTCTTGTTTTGTTCATCATGATCATCTCCACAAATGAACACAACTTTTATGAATTTTTTTATGAATTAAACATAGGCTATAAACGAACAACTCTTTCAGTCTTAATTCAAAAATTTTCCCTGAAAGTTTGAGTTAGAATTGTTTGCTAGAGCGTGATTATATTGTCATATGTTGTACAAATAAGTATGAAACTTATTAGAAATCGGTACAATTTCATATATTAACATATATATCTAGCCGATACAAATATGTATGTTTATGTGTATGTTGTAATACATCATGCACATGATAAAACCCATCAATACATTTTGATATTATACATTTCAAAGTAAATATAAAAATCAATATATCAGTAAATATCAAAGATAGAGATGCATTTTAAAAATGGATTGCATAAACATATAAACACTGATATTTTGTATATGTGTTGTTTTAATAAAGTTTCATAAGTATATATTGTTGACATGATTGCTACATATAATAACATAAAAACTCATATATAGATATTGTTAACATACATATACAAATTTGACTTTTTTTATATATATATATGTTATAAACGTATATCTTTAACCCATCAGAGAATGTACGTGTGCCTTATAGGTAACATATTGTCCTATATCAAGAGTGATATTGCCATATGTAAGTCATATATTAAATTTCCGTGTGGGCCTGTTTGATGTGATATCCCCAACATCCTCTGTAGTCCCATTTAGCCACCTCTTTAAAAAAAAAATTTAATTCACAAGGGGGTATTTCTGATGTATTTTATGTCATAGAATAAAACCCATTCAAAAAACCCACTGACTCCAGGACGGTGGAACTGGAAGTGCTAAAATGCAAAATCATTTCTCAGTTTTGGCCTACAAAAACACGTCATCCCTGCAGCACTTTATCGCTCATACTCAGAGTTAATGATTAGACTTTGATATGTAACTTGTGATCATTTTAATATCAGTAAATGCACGCATAGAGATTCAATTTGCAGTAATTTGCTCTACCTAGAACACACTAGACTTGTAGCAATGAGGTTTGCATGTCTAGTCTGAATATATATATATATATATATATATATATATGGCAATCTAGTTTGAATATATTTAATGCCTAAAACAGTAGAAAATTAGAGAAAAGTAGTATGGATGATTGATAATTTTTAAAGTATATTTCCTTAACTGTGTTTCACTGTCAGCTATGACCAAGCGACTGGAAGTTCTGGAGAGCCAGTTGCTCACAAGAAAATGAGAAAGCACTTCACACAACAGCGTGGATGAGGACGGGGCCCGCTGGGTATGAAGGGTAGCATAATCACAAGATCTGCAGGTGCAGACGCCTGATGCATGAGGCCCACTATTTCCGGTGCCATTTTTGGACATGGCTGATATTGTTCCCTATTTATACATGATCTGTATTGTATGATTTATAGAGAGGTATGTATTTATAGCAAATTTGATATTAGCATTTATACACTAAAAAGGGAAATTAAGTGTTTGGTACCACTCTGAAATATTCTCATCTTTATCATGTTTGCAATGTTTTTGGCACCAAATTTATGCACAATATGTGAACGTGGATCTCTAAAACCTTTATTCACAAATATATTACCAAAAAAAAAGCAATTAGTTACAAATTGTTCTGTTATACAGTTTTAGAATCATTAGTACTGATTCCAAAAGAGACAAACACATCCACTCACTTACATTACCAAAGCTGTTGCCTGTTGTGCATGAATATTTGAAATAGTCAGAGGAACATGTCTGATAATTGTTAACTGTTTAACTGGACTGCAATGTGGCCTGAATGGTTTGTTAACACTAAAATGCGATTTTAAAATTATGTAAACAGGGTAATGTGTACAAGTGCCCATTAAGATTGTAGTTTTTTATTATTGTTATTGAATACAGAATCCAGTTATGATACCTCAGAGTACTCTGGCCTCAGGTTTTTATGTTTTCTTGACGTTTGCAAAAAAGGCCCCATTATAAGGCTCTTATATGTGAGTTCTTGTACTTTTTCTATTGTATTTCCTAATAACACTCCTTTTTAAAACGTTCAAAGTGTGTCTGTATTCTTTCACAGTGTGAAATAAAGATGTTTTCAGACTGCTGTCATTCTGAATATGATGCCTCAAGAAAGGTTCTACAATAATATATAATAAATCTACTATGTATCTGTATATTCTAATTTGTTGAGATAGTGAATTGGTGGGTTTTTGTTAAATGTGAGCCAGAATCATCACAATTAAAGGAACCAAAGATTTAAACTACTTCAGTCTGTGTGCATTGAATTTATTTAATACACGAGTTTCACAATTTGAGTTGAATTACTGAAATAAATGAACTTTTCCACGACATTCTAATGTATTGAGATGCACCTGTATATCTATGGGACCAATGAAAATCATATACAATAATGTGTATTATTATTTTTTTAATTACTTTTAGATTTACTTTTCATTCAGAAAGAAATGGCAAAGAAATGGCAAGTAAAACATTGAGATAAATGTAAAATTTTGAGGGAGAAAGACTGAAATAATATTTTCTTGTAAAACCTACTCCAATAATCTTTGTTTTATTTCAACTTTGAAAAGTCATTTTTACAGTGTACTTAAATATGGCATATACATCACAAACTTTTTTCAGACTTAGTGATTTATCAACATTTACATCAGCCGCCATGTAATCCAAACGCAAGAGACCATTAGTGTTAACATTTCAAAACAAAATCTCTCTTGATGCCAGCAGACCTTTAAACAGCTAAAGTAATCTGGTTTATTATGTTCCATGATCTTTTCTGCATCTCTCCACAGACGTGCTAATCACTCCCAGGGATGCAAGCTTCAGAACAACAAGTGTTCCTGGCTGCTTTGCCCTTTTGCCTGCAGATCTCTGGGGCCCGAGATGCTCGAGTCTCTCGTGCCATCACTCTTGCTCAGTCTAGGCTCGGTGGAGGTCGTGAAATGTCAGAGATTCCCGCTAGCCTCAGTGAAAGCGTGTTAATTACCACAAACATCCTGCAGCTCAGAGTCCAATACTCAGATGTCGAAAGGACAAATGTCTTGTTATCTCAACAAAGCTCCCTTTTGTGAATTATTGCCTTTTTTTAGGAACACAAACACATGTTGAAGAAAAGGGCATGGTTTTCCAGAAAGGCTGGAATTAATTGTTTGTTTGTTTTTTGACAGGTGTGTGATATGAAGATGAAGTGAAGATGAGGTGATGTAAGTTCACTTTATTTAACTGACAATTTGATGTCTATACGAATCATGTATTTGGTCAAACCAAAATAAAATACATTTAAAGTCAACGTTACCATTCTAAAGATTTTTTAAATGCTTATCAAGGCTGCATTTATTTGAGCAAAAATACAGTAAAAACAGCAATATTGTGAAATTTTATTACAATTTAAAATAGCGGTTGTATATTTTAATATATTTTGAAATGTAATTTATTCCTGCGATGCAAAGCTTAACTTTCAGCATCATTACTCCAGTCTTCAGTGTCACATGATCCTTCAGAAATCATTCTAATATGCTGATTTGCTGCTCAAGAAACATTTCTTATTATTATTAATGTTGAAAATAGTTGTGCTGCTTCATATTTTGTGGAAACCATGATCCAAGTTTTTTTCAGGACCCTTTCATGAAAATAGAAAAATTAAAAAGAATTGTATTTGTTTAAAGCAGACATTTTTGTAACAATGTAAAAGTCTTTACTGTCACATTTGATCAATTTAATGCAACCTTGCTGAATAAAAGTATTCATTTTCTGACCCCAAACTACATATTTTTTTTTTTCAAAAATAGTAAAAACAGCAATATTGTGAAATTTTATTACAATTTAAAATAGCGGTTGTATATTTAAATATATTTTGAAATGTAATTTATTCCTGCGATGCAAAGCTTAACTTTCAGCATCATTACTCCAGTCTTCAGTGTCACATGATCCTTCAGAAATCATTCTAATATGCTGATTTGCTGCTCAAGAAGCATTTCTTATTATTATTAATGTTGAAAATTTCAACATTCATATTTTGTGGAAACCATGATCCAAGTTTTTTTCAAGACCCTTTCATGAAAATAGAAAAATTAAAAAGAATTGTATTTGTTTAAAGCAGACATTTTTGTAACAATGTAAAAGTCTTTACTGTCACATTTGATCAATTTAATGCAACCTTGCTGAATAAAAGTATTCATTTTCTGACCCCAAACTACATATATATATTAAGATGAAGTTACATGTATTTAATTTAATGAGGACAAATAAGACAGGGAGCAATTAGTAGCAATTTAACCCTTTGTTGCCTTATTAATTTTAATTTTTAATTTTAATGTTTTTATAGAAATAATTGATAGTAGATATTCCAGGGGTTACAGTGATTTTACATTTATGTTTTTTTTTTTTCATCAGTAAAAACTACAATATGAAAAAGGTTCAAAAGTTAGTGGGGTCGCTTTAACCCACGGAGTTGAAAAACAACACGCGGCCGGCAACGATGAAAATGTAGACCAATTCCGAGGTAAAACTGTGGACTTGGCAACACTTGCGCAGCGCGCTGTCATACGGCCAATGTAAACACAGAGGACATAAAGTAAGCGATTATGCATTTATTTATTGTGTGATCTGCCGCAGAAGCCAGCGAAATTATGCGCAGGCAATATGAAAAATAAAGACAAGGATGTGACAGAAGAGAGCAGAGTTTTGAAACATTTATGATGCGAGCCCTCATGTTTTGCTTGTATACAGTGGTGTACGGGACACCCCCGCAGCCCCTGCGGTGCGTGGGGGCCCCGTCGCAGGACATTCTAAAAGGCAGTGCTTCGAGACACTGCAAAAGACGCGAGACGTGAGCGCAAAGGTAGTGCAGTGGAGCGGGCTTAATGTTCTAAAACAACAACCGGGGAAAATCACATTTTTCTCACATTTCACTTGTCATAAACACTATACTTTAAGACAACCGCACCATAATCGAAGTGGATATTTTTATGCTTAAAGTGGCTTATGTACGGAGCCCCACACATGACATGCAGGAAAAATTTGTATTTGTAATTTGTAAAGCGTGCGCAGTCACATGATCCTTCAGAAATCATTCTAATATGCTGATTTGCTGCTCAAGAAGCATTTCTTATTATTATTAATGTTGAAAATTTCAACATTCATATTTTGTGGAAACCATGATCCAAGTTTTTTTCAAGACCCTTTCATGAAAATAGAAAAATTAAAAAGAATTGTATTTGTCTAAAGCAGACATTTTTGTAACAATGTAAAAGTCTTTACTGTCACATTTGATCAATTTAATGCAACCTTGCTGAATAAAAGTATTCATTTTCTGACCCCAAACTACATATATATATTAAGATGAAGTTACATGTATTTAATTTAATGAGGACAAATAAGACAGGGAGCAATTAGTAGCAATTTAACCCTTTGTTGCCTTATTAATTTTAATTTTTAATTTTAATGTTTTTATAGAAATAATTGATAGTAGATATTCCAGGGGTTACAGTGATTTTACATTTATGTTTTTTTTTTTTCATCAGTAAAAACTACAATATGAAAAAGGTTCAAAAGTTAGTGGGTCGCTTTAACCCACGGAGTTGAAAAACAACCCGCGGCCGGCAACGATGAAAATGTAGCCCAATTCCGAGGTATAACTGTGGACTTGGCAACACTTGCGCAGCGCGCTGTAATACTGCCAATGTAAACACGGAGGACATAAAGTAAGCGATTATGCGTTTATTTATTGTGTGATCTGCCGCGGAATGCGGTGCGTGGAGGCCCCGTCGCAGGACATTCTAAAAGGCAGTGCTTCGAGACACTGCAAAAGACGCGAGACGTGAGTGCAAAGGTAGTGCAGTGGAGTGGGCTTAATGTTCTAAAACAACAACTGGGGAAAATCAAATTTTTCTCACATTTCACTTGTCATAAGCACTATACTTCTAAGACAACCGCACCGTTAGACAGATTGTGAACAATATTTGAGAGAAATAGGCCTTTTGTGTACATAGAAAAAGTCTTAGATCTTTGAGTTCAGCTCATGAAAAATGGGGGCAAAAACAAAAGTGTTGCGTTTATAATTTTGTTCAGTGTATTTGGATGCTAAAATAATATTTATTACGTATAGGTTTTACACTTAACTCGCATTATCGACGTAAATCATCATCCTTCACAAAGGCTATAACAGCACAGTGAGGCGTTGGTCACTCTGAACGCAACAACGGACTTTTTCAATTGAGCATTGTAACTTTTATGTTTCTTTATGTATTTTATTTTGATAACGAACAGGCTGCGATGTCAAGGTAGCAAAAATGTTGTGTGTACGCGTGAGGCGCCAGCGCGATCACTGCATTGTTTTTCCAACAGTTAATCGTAATTTAGTCATATACCAACGCTGGTTGGTCATACAAGCAAGACACCATTCATCACTGTTTAGCGGTTCACTGACGACTTGTCACCAGATTTTGTCATGCAATTAATCGTTCGTTCTCGAAATTGAAAGTGATCAAGACATTTCTCCGGAGCACAATGTTACAAGAAAGAAGTCTGCCCAGTTTAGCTCTAAGTATTGAGAATGCCCGCGCTCGCAACATCGACATTAAAGCTGCAGTCAAAGACTTTGCGCACCAAAACGCTCAAAAATTTTCTCAAAAATTTAGCATATATAGTAATTCTTTTAATTTGTTTTTCTCCTAGTTTTTTTTTTTTTTTTACTGTTCGTTTTCTTACTGAAAGACATGAATTTTGCTTGTATAATTTTTTTAAACAGTTAGCGAGGCTTATAGGACAGTGAAACGTGCTGGCCATTAGCCTACATGAAATTCATTAATGCAATGATAATTCACCACATTCATTACTGATAAATCAGTTAAGTAAATAGAAGAAACGGACTCAGTAGTATAATTGCAGCAGATGCACAATACATTTTTGTACATGACATCACTGCTGGTGGGAGGGGCCCCATCTCGTTCTTTGCATATCTTCATTTCTAATTTATCACTTTGTTTTAACATTTTTTGTTTGTTTATTGCATTAAAA